AATCCGTTAAGTGGATTGTTGAAAACGACAAGCAATATTTTTATTGGATGTGCAAAAATGAATATATCAAGAATAAATGTCCATCATTGAATGAAAACTTGAGCGAATTTAAGACACAGAATTAAATTAATCGAGTTATTTTTTTTGTCTGAAATCTCCATTGTTAAACCGAGGACCAGAATTTGGCACCAGAATGCTCGAGCGTTGCACCAAAGCAAAACTTTAAAACACCAAAGGATTTCAGCGGAGCACCACACTAAGAAATTAGGATAAACCACTACAGATTTCGCACGCAACACCAACGCGTTGTAGGATATTGATCATACTACTCCGTCCCAAGTTCACGATGTCCAAGGGACCAGTTAAACGCCTGAGACCAACCATGACCACATTATCGCTACTGCTGCTCGCTAAAGCTTTTCGTGTCTCAGTTGTGCATTTGCCTTCTACTACGACAGCCCCTGGTCGAGATGGAGGAAGTCCAGTTGTCTGCTTGGGTGGAAATATGGAGAACAGCCAACGGCATGGATGTACGCGATGAGTATCTCAACACGTTGCCCCGGTACGCGACAGAGAAAAACAACAAGGTTACGTGCAAAATAGATTATTGGCAGGAAGTGCATGACATGGATGCTGCGTTTGACCACCATACGATGAGCTCAGTTCTTACGAACTGCCGATCACACCGCTGTCTCGCCAATGAAGACGGTGACGACTGCTACTGCCGATATAAGATTAGCACGTGCGACCGCGGGCGAATGAGTGTCGTGTACCAGCAAGGAGTCCATGTGATGCACGATATTCAAGCCATCTCACCACCACACACCCGCCTCACAGGACCAATGAAAAAAAGCTTAGAGGCCAAGTTAGACCTATTTTCATCGGCTTCGACGCAACAGCTTTACGCACACATTTCGTTGGCGATAGAGCGAAATGATCTCAATGGTCCAGCTCCGCTGGAAACCCAGGTTGACCGTTCCTGCGGCGCTGGAGGCGGAATCATCCTGGTAACGACACTAGTCAAGTCTCATCAATTGTTGACACTTCGTTGTACGACGTCTTCGGTCTGAGCGACGCAACTCCGACTCGGGTTGTGTACTTCAGTGATGCAGTCTTCAGCCAAAATCGCTGGGTTTTGCGGGTTGGAGTCGGTACCGCGGACGATCCTTTCCGTGTCGGCTTGACGTGCTACAAACTACTTCACGACTACGTGCAAGTGCAGCGTGCGGAATCGTTGACCACGTTAATTCACCTTGACAGCACATTCAACACGGTAGCTCAGAAGTTTCCTGCGTTTGTGATCGGATATTCGGACAGAGGTGGCCACTTCCTTCCATTGTTTTTTTTTGTACATCCAAACGAAAGGCTGGAGACGTGGAGCGGTGTCTGCGTGCTTCGAAGCGCGCTATTCATGAAACGTTTGGAGAGACATTCGACCCTGAATTCGTTATGATCGACGGTGACAAAGCGGAGCGCAATGCGTTGATGGCTGAGCTTCCGTCGGCAACAATTTTGATGTGCTGGTACCACGTCATGCACAACGTGTTTAAAAGGTTGCACACGCTCGGTGTAGACGTTGAAAGAAGCGTTGAGGTTTTTGAGCAGCTGTACGATCTGCACTATGCCCAACGAGCTGTCTTCGATGGGCTGAAGGCTAGCATTGGGGCGGTTTGGGAGGGTTACCCAAAGAAGAGCGCGAAGTATTTAATGGGTCAGTACTTAAAAAAAGTCCTGGATGAATGGGAGTTTCTGAAAGTGGCAGGCATTCTGGTCACCCTCGGGCTATAGGACGACAAATAATCCGCTAGAACAATATCACAAGACGTACAAAATTATCAGCAACAATCCTCGGGCAACCCCTAAACAAATGCTACAAGGGATGTCTGACTCTATGCATACCTCCCTGAATGAAGGCCGAGCCTTTAGCGTTTCACCCGAAGCCTCCGAGCGCCTGATTGAGCTGTATGCTTTGCTTAAACCCCACCGAAGTCTACGACCCACGCGTGTACCATCAGGGAATCCTCAAATGGTTCTCCTCAAGGTTCACCAAGATTTGCTCGAAACTGATAACTTGGCGCTGATCGCCAAGATCAAGCGAGATAGTTCGGTGAATGACGTTCGCGTCCATATGGCGGGTATGCCCGACGAAGGCTGGTTTGTGGATGTACAAGAACTCTCGTGTGGATGTCTTTACAACGCCAAAAATGGTATGTGTCTTCACGTGCTAGCAGCGAGATTTGAGGCCGGTGTTCGCATTCCTGGCACAGCTGCACAACCACGGCGCTTTGTTACCAATATTCAGCGACCCCGTAGACGGACTATTTCTGCTCGCCGTGTTAGGAGAACAAATGAAGCGGCCACTGCTCAAAATTCTACTCCCGGCAGTAAAGCTTCTCGGAGTGACAATTCTGAGGGTGGTGTAACGGAGAGCGAAGGTGATATCTCCATGCAGACGACACAGTGCTCTGAAGAACCTAGCCTATCAGCACTTCCACACACCCCCAATGGACATTAGTAGCGCTAACGAAATGGCCACTTCTTGTTTCACCAAATGGAAGTAAATCAATGTATTTGATATTCTTTAAGCTTGAAGATAACTGAAAGCTAAACGGAGCGTTTTGCTGAGAGTTTTGTTGACCAGTGCCTGCTTTTGATTTGAAATACTGTGCGTAGCAATCGAGGTACTCGATTTTCTTTACAGGTTTAGCAGCAATTTGACTTGGATTTGCAATATCATAGAAAGGGATGTATAGACGAGTAGTCGTAAATGGAAAGATTTGACCAGAAGTCGAGATCTGTGTAATATTGTTAGGTTAGCTATTTTTGGGGTCGTGTACGGGTAGGGCCTAATAATTGGGTCAGGCGGGTTTCCCGATCAAAACGCCAGGCCCTACCAAACCCAAGACCAATTGCTAAGCTATATAGTGAAGTGAAAGATACGAAGCTAAGCGGTTGGGTTAAAATGCTTAGACCACGATGGTCTGCGCAGCACGAGGCTGGTCGGCTTCAGTGTCGCCATCATCGGCATCACTGTCATTGCTGATCACATCTGCGCCCAAATTGGTAGCAGCAGCGTCCTCTTCGCTGCTAGTACCAGAGACGCCCTCGTTGTCATCATCACGGTCGAAATCTACGGCCTCGTCATCTTCTTCACTGCTCGATTCTTCTTCTTCTGTAGGAAGATCCACAGGGCGAGGAAGTTGGACGGTCTCACGAGTTTTTCCACGGGATCGGCGACTATGAATAGCGGCAATACCAGTGACATGGCCTCGCGCTAAAGCCTCAATAGTACCTATAAAGTTCGTAAGACTGGGGTGTGGTGTCAAGAAAGCGGCGTTCAACTCTCTGTTGAACCTCTCTAATGGATTATTCGTTCGAGCAACAAGCCGTTTATTTAGACCGTGGACATTCCATAGCCCAGTATCGTAGAGCTCCAGCCAGGTTCTCTTGAAATAGTTCCAAAAGCAACGCCACTTAGAGCGAGCGTAGGGAACACCGTCGCTGCGGCAGCGATCCTTGATTTGACGCTTGACCCACGTAATGCCTCCAACCTCGATCCGGTCCTCCGGCACGACGGTTAGCATATCTAGTACATCAGGGGTCATAGCGATTGATGCAGCTGTGTTCGTAATACCTAACTTGCGCATTTTACGGCGGACTGCCTGTTTAAAATGGAACAGGCAGCCGATCACTTGTGCGCTCGAAAATTGGACGCCAACCGCGTCGATGAGGGCACGTTCAAAGTCGCAGACGACCTCCGCCGGGTCGTTTATTTATCCGTAGTTTGCATGATGAAATGAAAGACGTCGAAGTAGGTGTCATTAGTGCGATGGAATGTCAAGACGTAGAACACTGGGCAGTAGTATCCAGTGGACCGATCGAAAACCATGAGAACAATGCATTGCTTGAAGCCACGAGGCACACACCGGAAAGTACCGTCAATAAATATTGATGTACCAGCGTACTTAAGCAGTGAAATCAACTCCGGGTGCGCCCACCCGATCATTCGACAGGGGTTTTCGTTGTCATTAAACCCACAGATGTAGTGAAATTGAAAAAAGTTGAGCGGTTGATCTCGGACTCGAGAAAGCGGTGGAAGTTCAACACGACCATGTACATTCCCACCGAAATGACGGTCTCGTACACGATAGACTCGAGCTGAGAACTTGCTCACGAGAGAAACCAACAAGTGCCTGGTTTTGACCGCCGCCGTAGAACTGTTTATCGCCTCGACTCCAGATAGTCGCTGCCGGGAGCGACATTTCGGTACATGCTAGGTTATCGACTGCGGCTTGCATGTCGGCCACAATGTCTAGAGGCTGGGCAAGAGGTATGTGATCCCTTCTGCAAATGTGCGGTACAAAATTTCCATATTCCATAGACTCCGAAACCAGCTCCACCTTGGCGCTGCATTGTTGCCCTCGATAAGAACTGCAGCGATACACGACCTTACGACGTGAGGAGCACGCTTTGGTGTACAGTACTGGTAGCCACAGATGTTTATAATGGTTGAATATCTACCATTGCGAACTGCTGATGAGTGTGGGAGGGTCAACCCACCTGCCGGAACTGAAGAAGTGTCGTGGGTTACATTGCTACGTGGAGCAACCGTCGACCGAGTTGGCTCGACTAAGGATGCTGTGTCTGGGTCAGAGACGTTGGGGTCTACGTCGGCCATGGAAGAAGTTGTGTTCGACTTGTTGGAAAAGAAGAAATAATGGAAATAGTGCACGGGCTCACATCAGAACAAAATGGTTGTTAAGAAACCCCTAAGTAGTGGTTTCTAGTGTTCGAGGGAGTTTTGAAACAGCCATGGAAGTTGGTAACCAGACTTGTTTGCACTTGATCCAGGTAACTCTGAACGGCTGCCTTCTAGCATTGTTTTATAAAGTTCAGACCGAAATAGCCGACCGCACTAGAACTATTGACGACGAGTGGAAATGGAACCTGACCCAATAATCAGGCCTGACCTGTATCCGACCCCGTTAATATTCTACCTAATGTTAGACATAACACCAAAAGCAACTCGTAGTGACCCAGCTGCGCCTGTTGTTAGTTTACCTGCGTTTGGATTACCTGCTGCTGCAGATGCTACCATAACAGGAACTGTAGAACTACCATTTAATGATAAAGACGATAAGCTCATTAGATCACCAGTAGCAGTCGTAATATCAACAAAACCTGTGTTGAGGTTAGATTTATTGATTTGAGGGTTCGCAACAAGATCCAGTTCTTTGAAGATGGGATGGAGGTCAACTAAACGAATCTTTAATACGTAGTACCATGTACCAGCAACTCCACCAGCAGGCGTTACACCTTGCTACATACCCACCAGTACCTTGCTGTTGAATTTTAGATAGAATTGCACCACTTTGCGTTGTAGGCCACCCAAGCGTGTTTGTTGCTGTAATCGCTGTTCCAGAGGCATCAGAGGTACCGGTTTGCTGTGGATTCCAAATTAGACGCTGGATTAGTCCGCTATTATGAGCTGGAGTTGTTTCTGGAATTAAACCAGTAGCTACAGTTGTGGCAGCATACTGAATTATTGACAAACCTATCTCCTTGTGTTGAAGAAGCAGGATTACTACCGCTTTGTGGGAAATTCAGACTGACAACATCATCTGGAGCAATATAGCAGTCTGCACCGCTCTTTAGTTAATCATCATCACACCATTCAGTTTGAGCTCGTAAATTGCTCCAATAAGTTTTGTAGTCATTGCTCGTAATGACACTTTTACCATTAATTTCAACCGATAATTTATCCACAACATTCCATACACCAGCTTTTAAGCCTACTAAAAAACGATTTAAAACTCCATTAAGGGCATTTGAGGATGTATTTCTAACCGTTACGACATAAGGAACTACTAGATATCAATCCCGAAGACTTCCATACCCGGTAACACCATTTAGCTGCGAAGTTGCATTAATCGTTACACTCCCCGATTGATACGAACCATTATTATCATCAACAACGCTGATATCACCAATACTAATACTGTAGTTCTAATGGATTGTACAGGGATGGTACATAATTATTTGGTGGCATCCTGTAGAACGATCCTTTATATAATATAACAGATACAATTGGCAAACGAAATCGTAGATTTCCATGAGTTCAAGTCCTGATTTTGGTGGGATGCTTCCTAAAGCGTTTAAAAAGAAATCTTTCGGAGTAAATGAAAAGCTTGGTATCCAGAAGCTTTTTCGAATGATATTTCTAGGTCCGAGTTTCTCTGGCAAGTCAGATCTACCTTTCCATATACTTAAAAAGTCCCCACATGCTTATAGTCATTTACATATTATAGCTCGCGACCCTGATCAAGAGTTGTACGATTACATTAAAGAAAAACTACAAGGATTCGTGACGTTTTATGATCCTGATGCTCCTCCAAGCGTTGATGCTATCAAAGAGATTCCAAATGCTTTACAACTTTTTATTATTGATAATTATTCCAACGATAAGAAGCTTCAGAAAGTCATTTCTTTACTCGGGGAAGACACAAAGGGCTTTCAACAATTTTCATAGCTCATAGTTAATTTGCTACTGATAAGATGATTCGATTGAATTCTGAATACATAGCTATTCTAAAAGCAAATTCAAAACGCGATCTCCAGTTAATTTTGAAAGATTTTAATCTACCTGGAGTAAGGGAAGATGATATTTACAGGTATTACAAACAAGCAACAGCTCAGAAAGGCCAAATATTGTTCATTGACTCTGTCAAGCAACAAATTCGGAAGAATTTCAAAGGTGAAATTTATAATTAGTTTCTCTCATGGAATATACCGGTGCCAAAAACAAAAGCTTCGCTTTAATATAAGTACGATGACGAGCACTATTATCTTTAATCGCAATAACATTGTTTCCAATGGGTTGAGTAATACATTTAGATTTAATTTTACCGGATCAAGCGTTAATTTCAAAAATCAGGAAATCGCGCTATCGAGCCTGCAAATGTGACGGGGTCACACAGCACCTTGCGCAAGAGGAAGTTATCTTCCGAGAGTATACAAACTCTCAGTGAACGGCAGTTCACAGGTCCCCTCTTTTATTAAAGAGAGCGAAGTGACCCAAATAAGGTAGATTGTAAACTGAGTATATTTATAGGTAGATTAAGTTTGGGTTTAATACAAACTGTTAGTTACCTATAGAAATGCAATGTCATTTAACCAATGGTTGGCTTTGAACGACCTTGGTACCTTGTACCAAATATCTCGGAGTATGACGTGTCATACTCCTGAAGTGTGAAGTGTCACACTTCATGTAACCAGGGTACACTTAGGGCTACGTACCCCGTTACATCCTCCTTCGGTTTACCGACCAATCAGAATGAAGAGGTGTTCGTCACAAACTCTCATTCTCAAAGTCGAAAACCATCGACTTGGCCGCGCGAGCGCGGCGGAGGCTCACTTCACAGTTAGAGCCTCGAGCAGCAACCTGTGCGCTCTTCGTCAAGGTCTCCACTTCGACCGTTAACATGCCTCGCGGCACTGCTAAGAGCGGTGCTAAGACACGCTCCAAGGCTGCAGCCGGTAAGGTGCAGGCCAAGAGCACTAAGCCTCACGGCAAAGGCTCTGCACTCAAGGAGGCTACTCAGGTGGCCTCCGAGGCGATCGGTTCCTCGGGTGACGCGGCGGCGGACAAGCGCGCAAGCAGGCGCCGCAGTCCGTCGCCCTCGTCTTCAGACAACCGTCCAAACCCTCGGTTCGTAGAACGCGAGTTCAACTCGGGCAGTGAAGACGATGCCGAGTCCGAGAGCACTCAGGATGCTCCTGCGGGCTCTGTGGGAGGGCACAGCCCAGTGCCCAGTGAGCACAAAGAAGGCAGCGTGCAGTCGCCCGCTAGTGATCACGGTGATCACAGTCCGAGGACCTCTGTGCGCTCTGAGAGTCCGGCCGTTAAGGCTAAGGGCGCTCCCAAAGCCGGTGGCGATGAGGAAGAGAATCCTCGCAAACGTCTCTCGCTTGCCGAGGGTCTTGCGCGCGCTAAGGCCTCTAAAGCCGAAGGCGCCAAGCCCTCAAAGAAGCGTACCGCCTCTTAGTCTCCACTCCGCGAGGAGAAGGAGACTCGACGCTCCTATCAGAGTCTCTTCGGCTCCTCGGATGAAGAGGAGGAGAAGGAGGAAGAAGAGGAAGCGGAGGGTGCCATTGTTGAGCCCCGGGAGGTCTCGAATGACCTCGACCAGCAGCAGGAGGATTTCCAAGCTGCCCAGCGCGTGCGTGGGGGTTCGGTGGCGGCACCCGTCAGCCAGGGAGCTGCCATCAACTCAAGAGGGTATTGGCCTCCCGAGGAGAGCTCTGGGGCTGACCTCTTCTTAGAGCTTCTCGTCGCTCCTCGTGGCCTTGTGGGCGGCCACACTTCTAGGGGCATCTATGAACGAGCCCTTGTTCAGAAAGAACAGTTGTTCGTCGACAACGTGGAGGCTGCTCGGTGTGTGCTTCTCGCGCAACACCGCATTCCCCTTAAGGACTTCACGACTTGTCGTAAGAAGCCCGAGACCCGGGGTGGTCTCTATCCTGTTTGGGGATACCCCTGGGTTATGCCCGAGAACATGTTCTGGGCGTGGGTGGAGACTCTCAAGTACTCGCCCACGGAGTTATGGGAGCTCCATGAAGATCAGCAGCTGTCCCACATCCTGGACCAGCGTGATCTTCGTGTGAGGTTTGCCCACTTGATCAGCAAGCGTATGCTGCCAAGGGACATCCTGAAGCGCGCGGCTTCTAGCGCTCACGATGAGCGCGGGTACGGTATGTATTCATCGTCCGTACCCCGTTCGGGCAAGAAGCCCCGGACTACTTATGAAGCTGCCGCCGCTTCTGTTCCCAGATTGCGACAGCCTTCGGGCAGTCAATCAGGAGCCGTTCAATCGGCTCCCACGAGTTCTCGGAGTGGGCATAACCCCTCCACTTCACGAGGAGCTGTCGCTTGCCGCGACACCGTTGCTCCTGGAGGATCCGCTCCACCTGGAAGTGGGCTTCTCCATTCCGGTCAAGCAGGGGCGGAGGTGCCCTCGTACGAGTACGAGTACTCGGAGCCTCCCGAGAGCCACTCTCGTCCGAGTGCTCCGACTGCTGGTCCGACACAGGACCCTGAGGTTGACCGCCTCCGTCAACGTGTCCTCGTGCTTGAGATTGCACTTGGCCTTGGGACTGGCGGTAATGCTGCCGCCCAGGCCGGGAATCAGGGCGAGCTCGCTCGTCTTGCGGGCCGCCTGGACCTGGTGGAGCGAGAGGTCGCGAGCCTGCACCTGCGGGTGGATCGACGGGCCTCTTTGTCCGATCTGGACGAGGCCTTTCGCATGCTCCGACGGATCGAGGCTTTGTTGCCACGTTCGGAGCCGCCTGCGGCACAGTCCCAGACGTACGCGTATGGTGCGTACCCGGCGTACTCAGCGTACTCGGCGTATGGCTCCGGGGTCCGTTCGTATGGAGCTCCTCCCGCGTACGGTCTTGAGCGCAGCTTTGCCGTCCAGACCGAGTCTCGGGTGCCTGCTCCGACGCCCTCGTCGACGACTGTGACCGGCCCTCGCTTCGAGGAGCTTGGTCAAGGGGGGTCTGCGAGTCAGCAACCCCCTGCGGGTCAAAGTACCGCTTAAGACGTCCGACATAGAACGTCGGGTGCGTCTTCATTGACTTTGGAAGGTCGATGGTGTACGACGCACTATGTCTGGCCAGGACTGCAAAAGGTCCGATGAAGCGGTGCTTCAGTTTGTTGCTGCCGACAGAGCTAACAGTGTCTAGAGGTAGGTTCCTCGTGTCTAGCAACACTAAGTCACCAACCTCAAATATACTTAAGTTTCCTCTTCCTTGTTTGTCTGAGTACTCCTTTTGTTTATCTTGGGCCGCTGCCATGGCATCGCGGACCCTTCTGACATCACTCTGCTTGGTATCCATAAAGGATTTCACTTGTTTCCGCAGCGAAACTGGCCTCACATCCGAGACCTGGGAGGAAAGGGCTTTCCGAGCCTCTCCCCCACTTAGAATAGAGGAGTCAGTGTCTCCTCGAAGAGTGAGAGGCACTCTGGTGTGGCGGAAGCCGTTCAAGTAGAACGGCGTAAACCCCGTGGACGCGTGCACCGCGTTGTTGAGCGCAAACTCAACAGCTGGAAGCTGCGTCGCCCACGTACGTGGTGCTACCGCGCACACACTGCGCAGAGTGTCCTCGAGCACTCGATTGACGCGCCCTGTCTGGCCGTCTGTCTGTGGATGATCCGCAGTGGACATCCGCAGACGAGTTCCCAGTAAAGGAAACAGCGTTTCCAAAACGCAGCAGTGAACCGCGGGTCTCGGTCCGAGACAATCGTCTCCGGGAGACCGTGATAGCGGAACACGCCATCGACGAACAACCTTGCGGTTTGTTCGCCCGTTACAGTGACGGGAACCGGAGCAAGATGTACCATCTTGCTCAGCCGACACACGAACACCAAAATTCCGGTGTTGCCGTGTCCGTCGGCGGGAAGCCCAAAGATGAAGTCAAGACTCATCGACTTCCAACAATCAGCCGGTACGGGCAGGCTCTGTAGTGGAGCCGAAGAGTGCCCTGCGGGTTTGACCCGCTGACATGTTTCGCATGTCTTGACGTATCGGGCGACCCACTTGTACATGTGTCCACCAGAAGGACTGAGAGACCGACAGAAAGGTCTTCTCGCGGCCCAAGTGGCCGCTGGAGGGCGCGTCATGCGCCTCCGCGAGGATGTCGAACTTCAGATCCTCGTCGTTGGGTACGACCACCCGTGGAGGATCAGTGGGCTCCACCCGATAATAGAGGAGGCCCTCCTTCAACTCATGTCGGTGGAGCCGTGAGCGCTGTCGCGACGAGAGCCAGTCGGACTTCGCGCTCGTTCCGGCCTTAAGGAACTTGACGATAGGCGCGACAGCCTCATCGTCCCGATACGCCATGCGTATCCGATCATATAGATCCGTTGTCACCCGCGTGATGTGGGCCAACTCATAGTCGGGACGCCGAGAGAGGGCGTCCGCAAGCACGTTGAGCTTGCCCGGCTTGTATTCGACGCGGAAGTTGTATTCCGCGAAGAAGGACGTACTCAGCGTACTCGGCGTATGGCTCCGGGGTCCGTTCGTATGGAGCTCCTCCCGCGTACGGTCTTGAGCGCAGCTTTGCCGTCCAGACCGAGTCTCGGGTGCCTGCTCCGACGCCCTCGTCGACGACTGTGACCGGCCCTCGCTTCGAGGAGCTGGGTCAAGGGGGGTCTGCGAGTCAGCAACCCCCTGCGGGTCAAAGTACCGCTTAAGACGTCCGACATAGAACGTCGGGTGCGTCTTCATTGACTTTGGAAGGTCGATGGTGTACGACGCACTATGTCTGGCCAGGACTGCAAAAGGTCCGATGAAGCGGTGCTTCAGTTTGTTGCTGCCGACAGAGCTAACAGTGTCTAGAGGTAGGTTCCTCGTGTCTAGCAACACTAAGTCACCAACCTCAAATATACTTAAGTTTCCTCTTCCTTGTTTGTCTGAGTACTCCTTTTGTTTATCTTGGGCCGCTGCCATGGCATCGCGGACCCTTCTGACATCACTCTGCTTGGTATCCATAAAGGATTTCACTTGTTTCCGCAGCGAAACTGGCCTCACATCCGAGACCTGGGAGGAAAGGGCTTTCCGAGCCTCTCCCCCACTTAGAATAGAGGAGTCAGTGTCTCCTCGAAGAGTGAGAGGCACTCTGGTGTGGCGGAAGCCGTTCAAGTAGAACGGCGTAAACCCCGTGGACGCGTGCACCGCGTTGTTGAGCGCAAACTCAACAACTGGAAGCT